ATAGGCCCTTCATGGGTCGGTATAGGCCCGGTGGGTCCAGTGCAAGCCTATCAGGGGCCGGTGCTGACCCAACAGGGCCCAGTGACATATAATGTAAGGCCGTCTAGGGACGTTGAGGGCTCATGGGGGCCATATAGGACCAATAGGGACCACATAAGCCAATCAGGGGCCATTTAGGCCAATAAAGGCACTTCAAGGGACTTGAAAAGGTCATTCAAGAGCTGTGGTGGGCCCATGAGAGGACGGCACTGGTCCAGCAGGTGCAGTCAGGGGATGTTGTACGGGTTTCTCAGTGGCCCATTTGGGCATATCAGTGACCAATTTAGACCCAGCAGTGGGCTTTGTAGACCTATCAGGGGCTGGTGATGGTTCATCAGGGGCCAGCGTTAGTCCATCGGGGCACGGCATATGCCCATCAGAGGTAATTGCGAGCCCACGCTGAACAATGCTGGCCCTTCAACGGCCCCATGGATCTACATTGACCCATGGGCCATGATGTGTCATGTATGCCCCTATGACAGGCCTACTCAGACCCCTGATGGACGTTCCCGGCCTCTGATGACCCTATGCTGAATGCAATTTAGACCCAGCAGTGGGCTTTGTAGACCTATCAGGGGCTGGTGATGGTTCATCAGGGGCCAGCGTTAGTCCATCGGGGCACGGCATATGCCCATTGCCCATCAGAGGTAATTGCGAGCCCACGCTGAACAATGCTGGCCCTTCAACGGCCCCATGGATCTACATTGACCCATGGGCCATGATGTGTCATGTATGCCCCTATGACAGGCCTACTCAGACCCCTGATGGACGTTCCCGGCCTCTGATGACCCTATGCTGAATGCTGATGGGGCTCTAAGAGTCTCCAATAACCCTTCGTCACCCCATTATTACCATACGCTGGCATTAGGGACCCCACATCAGCCGCAGGGCAGTCCGTACCATGACAGCATGTCTTTTCGGCCGATATTTCATCGGTAATATTTATCAAAATCATGATTTTATGGTGCCATTATATAGGTAACAGTCATAAGAAATATATTTCAACTCGAAAACAGCTCGAAACAGCATATAATTTTAAAGAAACCCCTCCGAAATCCAAAAGCCTATTCGGGTCCATAGAGAATAACTGCGGTCCCCCGCAATTTCGTCACGAGCGTCGGACCAATCAGCGTCGAGTACCGCCGAGCGCTGATTGGTGAATTTTCCGCTAGCGTGTAAGTACTGCTCACGGAACAAGAGTTCGTCGACAATCCTCCACAAACGTCTGTCACCATTTTTCATAATGCTTAACAGCCGGAGCGTACCCCCCTGGCCCCATCGGACGGCGCTGCCTGGTGCCCGCCTCCCAGCCCCCCCCCCCGACCCCCCCCCCCCCCGCAGCCATTCACCGATCCGAAAGAAGCGGCGGCCGGCCGTTCCAAGACGCTGCTGGGGCCGATCGGCCACGTCCGGACCCAATAGAGTCCGGCTAATGACCGGATCGATACCGGTCGGGAGGCGGCGGCCATTAGCGCAGCAAGGCGCCCGTCTCAGTTATTACAGACGACGGCGTAAGGCCGCCGCGGGTGGCGCTGAAAGACACGGGCGGGTGGGGTGGACGCATAGAGCCAGATCCGTCCTCCATCACTCACCGGGCTAAAAAGGTGTGATGTGGTTTTCAGCAGCGACACGCAATCTATACGTGACACGCGCCCAGGCGGTAGCGTGTGTATTGGCCATGCTGCATGGCGCACAGTGGGCCATTATAGGCTATATTGGCGAGCGGTATTGGGCACGATATGCATTTATTTCGACAGAACCGTGTGCTGACGTGATGTGTCAACTACGCCTATCCGTTTGTCGGCCGTGCCTTATCTGCATCATTTGTCCTCGCTAGGTCGAGGTCCTTGTGACATGTTTGCGTGCGTTTGCTTTCAGTGGACCCGATAAGGCAAGGTCGAGTATTTGACATGTTTCGCCCTTGTATCCTTCAGTTATACATGCAGACGTGTATCTGCAACACCAATTAACGCCTTACTGTACTGTATGATTATAATAGTACGTACTTACATCAGTTATTACCAGGCCTTTTCTGCCACCCCTTGCTGCACAGCTCTGGCCTAACCTGGCGTGTCTCGTCCACAGTGTGCTGAGGGGAGCGATCTGACACCACTGTGACCCTGACCTGACCTGACCCGGTGTGTCTCGTCCACAGTGTGCTGAGAGGAGCGGTCCGACGCCACTGTGACCCTGACCTGACCTGACCCGGTGTGTCTCGTCCACAGTGTGCTGAGAGGAGCAGTCCGACGCCACTGTGACCCTGACCTGACCTGACCCGGTGTGTCTCGTCCACAGTGTGCTGAGAGGAGAGGTCTGACACCTCTGTGAGTCGCCGTCCTCATCTTATCGGCTCCTCGGACTATGGGCGTACCCGGCCTTCCTTTCGGTGAGTAGCGCCGACCGAGAGGCGATTGGGTGTTCACCAAAGCGTTATACGCCGTCAGCCAACTCAATTCAGCGTAGCCAACCAACAGACTTTTCAACTCACCCTGCAGCACTCCAAAGCGCATCGACCCCCGCTCTGTCGCATTCAAAGGCGTGATGTATCCCCCAAGCAGGCGCACCTACACTCAATTCAAGACTCCGATTGAAGGGCATAAAACCCCGGCATCTTTCATCTCGTCCACCATTTCGCCACCGCACCCGTTACGTGCGGGGACTGCGGAGCAGGGGAGGGGAGGTGAGGGGAGGGGAGTCTCGAGAGCAGGATCAATCAGGGCGGCGGAGGTCGGATCGACATTGATCCACTGGTGCCGACGTCGGCTCCGCGGTGGACGGTGGTGGCGACGGTCAGCTGCGCGGCGGTCTGAGGTGGACGGCCAGCCGGTGGACTGGCTGGTGGACGGTCAGCTGTCTCTCGACTCCCGTAGCAGACAGTCAGATGTCTTTCGCAGGCTAGTTATCTGCTGGCTGTCTCCGGCCCGCTGTATAATGTCTACCGTGGATGGAAAGCTGTCTCCCGAGTCCCGGAGACACTAGGGCGTCAGATATTTCCCACAGACTGTCTGCTAGCTGTCCCCCGTGAACAGACAATAGTTTCCAGCGGACAGTCGGCTTATATTGGTCACTGGATATTTGACAGTCAGTTGTATCGGATAGACCGTCAATAATCTCTCGTGGACGGTTAGTTTTCAATGTCATTGCTGATAGTGCGAATTGTCAGCTGGTCATTGGTCAGCTGTCTCTCCTCAGTCGTCAGTAATGGACAGCAATATTTCGTGGATGGTGAGCGGTCTCCCGTTTACTATGAATGCCGTGCTGTTAGAAATGGTAACCTTGCAGCTCACATGAGCTGTCTATCCGCACGAATATATGTCCGCAACGAATATATGTCCGCACAAACAGCTAACAGTTCGCACTGCACACGCCGTGGAGCCTGGTTCACAACGGTATCTGACTATCTTGCAACGATCTACCGTTTACCGTTTTCATGTGCGACAGGCTAATGACGAATTAAATGAACTTGATATTTATATAGTTAGCTTTCATGGTGCTGTGCAGGGTACTCTGTAGTCTGTGCAGATCTGTATCCGTCCAGAGACGATTACATACGCTCAAATGAGCGATAAGTTTTGCTACTTGTGCTAAATGTGACATTTGAAAAACATAGTTTGGTTCAAACGTTATAGCTCTCGTTACTGACGCTGGTTTAGTCTTCCAGGTTCTCTGCTCGTATGGCCAATGGCCATGCTTTCACTAATAACTATTAATTTTGACAGTTGTCGCTAATTTTCCAATCATGGTTGATGCTTCTGAAATTGTTCATTAATTACAACTGATTGTTAATGATGGTTACAACTTGTCAACTCTGTTTAATCGAGCCAATTGTGCGACTTAGCCTTTCTCAGTGGGCAGTGGGCAGGCATGGCAGGACCGATAGGAGGCGACTGCTCTTGTAGATCACGGAAACTGTAGGCCACGATCCGACCACACCCTGTTTGCGTAGGTGTGTCTGTTTATAGCGCCTCAGTGAAGGTATCGACGCACGCCAATATACGGGTTGTAAGTACCACTTTTCCGGAGACTGGGAAAGTGCAAGAGGCCTCAGGCAGGCGTTTTGTACATGTTACCTGAAAAATTGTCCATGATTCGACAGGCAAAAAGGACACCACTGAATTCAGGGTGGTCCCTCGCCTATAGTCCCATCCTCTCACCTGGTGACGGACGCGAACCTTTGTCAAGAGACCCGTTTCAGACCCCGGTGACAGGTCTAAATTTCGGCTTCACAGCTCGACGCACCAACTCGCGTTGCCGCTGGTCCAGCATTGGCTCGGACCGGACCTTCACATGCCTTCGCTTGGGTTCGCAGCCAAGACTAGCTGTTCCGATGTGCCTGGCGCGGGAGGTCGAACCGCGGCGCTTATCGGCGCACTCGAAATAGATTGGTGTATCTTATCACCGTGATCTACAGGAATGCGTGAGATCACAGGAAACCAAGCAATCGTCCTGTCAGTGAATGAGATCAATCGTTGTCGTGCTATCGCCTCGATTGATTTCGTACGGCGTACAGGTTGAGTGTGTGGTGCTTCAACAGATACATGACATCAAGTAACTGACTGGAGGTTAACCAGACGCAGTTGGGAGTCTCAGTCAGGCGGGTTGCGGTTACGGTACAATTACTGTATGGTGGTGAGCCGATTTTGCCGAAACGCAGCCTTTCCGTGGGTATGTCTTATTTATCAGTCGCCACAGCCTTGATAAGATATTGCAAATTTCCGTGCACGATGTGATGCATGTTTTCAGTCAGTAAAATTTCGCGCAGTTGTAGTACCAAACAGCAACTTCCAGCACTAACACATGGCTAGTAACCTTAGAATCATTAAAACTTAATCACCGAAAGCCACACAGCACGGTGACGACAGCCCTTGGCGGCCAGCAGGGTACCGGGCCTGGCTGGGCGCGCATGTGGGTGCAGGGGGCCCGATAGCGGCCATCGCAGCCGGCGCAATCTAATCGGGCCTGGGTGTCCCACCGCGGCGGCGGCGCGACACCCGGCACACTCCCAGCCGCGCGCGGCGTCACTCGGCCCGTCACAGCGAGCGTGACGCCGCCGGCGTGACATTCAGTGACGTGACGTTACGGAAAGTGACGGCCGGTGTGAGCTGGTGATGTTCGTGGACGACTGGATGAATTCAGAAGAGAGGACTCGCTGCGATCGACTCTGGGAGCGTTTGGCGTGACTTGCTCTCGCAGCACCTAGTGTGATTGACTGGGGAGCGTCTGGTGATTGACTTCGGAAGCGCTTGATGATTGATTCCTTGGTGACAAACTCTGGAAACTCCGGTGACTGACTCCGTCAGCGCCTGGCGGTTGACTCTTTGAGTCCTACGGAACGCCACAGCCGGTGCTGGCGATTGGTGCTGGTGCTGACGGAAATGCGTGATATCGCTGCCGCCTTCAGTGCTGGTGGGACATCTCAGTAGGGCGAGGTCGGCCCTTTCCCACACCGCCGCTCGTCTCACGTCGCCCGACACCTGCTCTTGAAGACATCAGTACGTATTCACTACCGCTGAACGGATGTGTCCTTACAAGTCAGACAAGTGTTCGTCTGGATGTCATTCATAGATGTGCTTGTAACCTTTACCCTGCATGCCTGGACGGTGGACAAACCTATCGAAACCCTTGAGGGCTCGATTTGGCCTGATCTCCTCCGTCTTATGTGACCAATGTTTCGGGATATAGATGTGGTGACACTTTACTCTCACTTATTGATCACGACTCGAAGAGTCAATGTTTAGCTCCGATTCTCTTGATATTTTTCTTTTTCTTCCTAGCATTAGCGTGTTACTCATCAAGGCCACGTAGGAACTGGACCAAGCGATAGCACCCAGCGATTGTCAGGAGCGTCATGGCACCTTTGCCACAGACCATCCGCTACCAGAACCAGTCCATTGCCACAGGCTGAGCGTGTTCCGTGCCGACCCCAAGAGCCGGTGGGCCGCCGGGTCGGCAGCCGGTGGTTGAAGGGGGGGGGGGCGGTCAGCGACGGTCGCCATCCGTCTCCGGTGGTATTCGGTCGTCCGGGAGGACGGGTGTAGCAGATAGAGCGCAACGCTGATACAGCCAGACGGGGCGGAGCTCTGCTGAAAAGTGGCGCGTAGATCGCGTCCTACGGGTTGACAGCGTACGAGGGTTAGCCGGCAGTCGTCGAACCGCTGCCGTCAGTTGTGTGCTGTGTTTGTGTGTGGTGAGGTGGGTAAGGTGGTAGCCGTGCTGCTGCACGGATTGTTGAGCCATGTCGCTCACAGTGACTATACAACAGCTTTGGGAGAGGTACACGTCCCCTGCGTGTCTCCACAAAGGTTAGTGTAGAATCCGCGGTGTCTCATTAATTTGTGAAAAGGGTGAAACCAGCTGTCTTCAGTAGCGGCGGAACACCTTCAATTAAGGGGGGGGGGCACTGCCGACTTTTGATCCCATTCTTTCCATGCAACGCCCATAGGGCTAATGTTAAAATGCCAAAATAAAAGGGGGGCACGGTGCCCCGGTGCCCTCCCATGAATTCAAATGCCGTCCACTTCTTATCGAAGCTTATCGTGAATGGCGATATAAGACCACACTAAGCTAGGGAATATTTCCGTGACTTATCTCGCACTTAATGAGTTTTCGAAGTAGATGCTCATATTTGCTTGGTCAAGAGACGTCTCATTAGAACGAGCATTGACGTTTTTCAAGCTACAGGTCTTTTCTGTGCTGGGCTTTCGTTTCTTGAAACCATCATTGTAAACCTATCATAAAGATGGTAAACGGGGGTGGATATGCAGCATGGACGTTTTAGCTGTCGACGGACGTTTTAGCTGTAGCAAGGCTATAGGTTCCATGTGGTGGTGACATAGAAACAGTGGGAACTTCCGGTAGACATTGCTTTCTTGTTTCTTTTTGAAACTTGTATGAGGTACCTATATAATATATAAAACATTTTAACATATCATTGGTTCCCTGAATCCAAGTTTATATCTTGGGTGTCCTGAATCAGGAAAAAACTTTGTTATTCAGTATTTGCTAGATTTGTTCAGTTTTCGATTTAAGGTTGATTTTTTTTTTTTTGCTTTCTCAATGTTCAGAAATGAATAATACTTAACGATGCGGCAACATGCATTGCTATTGCAGTGTGGCTAGCATTGTATTCTGCGTTGTTGCACGCGTACAATGACAACCCGTGTCGGTGTCGGCATTTTATTCAGTCTCATCAATCACCTGTTGCCCTGCCCAGTGCTGTTTGCGTAAGTGGCATTACGTCCGGCTTTGGTCGGCGCAATTATTGGAGTGGTCGACTGGAAACCCGATATCCGGCCGGCTCACAGGGGGAGCGGGTGGATCGGTTTACGCGTGAGTGACAGCCTCACCCCCCCCCCCCCCCCACTCGTGCCGGGCTGGTCAGAGGGGATCGGATGACTTCCAAAACGGAGCTGCGGTGGGCGTGTTCTGCGGGCTCACTAGGGCTGTGGCGCTTCCCCGGGTAGTGGAAACATGATGGCGAAGATATGTTTGAGCTTAGGAGCTCTTACAGTTTCAGCTCATATGTGCTGGTGGACGCACGTGTAAGGAATAGCACGTGTTTCGATATTTATTTAATTTGTCGTATTTGTTTGTGTTGCGGTCTTGGTGTTGCGTGTGCTGCTTCACAGATCCACAGGTGATTTAACGTGTGACCTGTGACTGTGGCTGACAGTGACCTCTGTGACCTCTGCGTTCCAGTGTGGCTCGTCAACAAGACACTGGTGATGACGCTCTGCGTGGGCATCACGTTCGGGTTCAGCTTCGCCTACATGGTGCTGACACTGGCGCAGTACAGTCCGCAGGGCGGCTTCTACGACCGACTTCTGGGCGGGTGAGTACCGAAACCCCAGCCGAAACAAAACCCTATACCCTGCCCCAGGAGCTTACTCCTCACGCTGAAATACCGGCACATTTGGGCCAGTCTGAGCATGGAGACTCAGCATGGGCTGCAGACAGCGGGATCGATTTATGGACTCCTGTGCCAGCACCGCTGCAGATGCAGAAGCGCTGATGGGTCCGGTTCCGTGACATTTAATGTTAAGTGTCGAACGAGATATATTTTTGGCCGCGGTGGGGTGTCGCAGCCGCTAGTGGACGGACCGGTCGGCGGTTATTACGCCGAGGTGCTGACCGGGTAACACCTCCCAGATGACCCCATAGAGCAGCAGGTGTGCCGAGAGAAAATATGGCCGACTGACCTGGTGACCGCTGCCGACCGGTCCCGGCTCCGGCCGACCGAATCTGGGCGGTCACGGGGTCCTCAGAGATGATTGGTTCGGCAGATGCTACTGAGAACATTGCGGCCCACAGCTTAGCTGTCCAGAGCAAATGGTTCCGTAATGCAAACTACTGATCGTTTATAGCCATGACTGAAAGTTGTTGCTAGAGATCAATGCCGGGATAGGACCACAAGATCATTCATGTCTGTATCTTTCGGCCTCACCGACGTTGGACATACTAGTTCGGTGTTTTAAACGTCAATAAAGAAAAAAACTACCACGCATGAGACCAGCCTGTACATACTGTGCACATATCTAATTACCGCAGTCTGGCACTGCCGACCGCTCGGCCCACCCAATCCACGATTCCCCGGCCATCTCATCACGCACTGTAGTGTGTTAGCACTCAGTAAGCTCCTTTATTGCTCTACTAGCGTCGACAGATTGGCGCCACCTGACCCGAATTAGGGGCACTTTCTGACGCGACTCTGACGTGACCTGTCAGGGTTGGTGGGCAAAGGGAGGGAACGGGGAGAGTAACCTGTCAACACGCTCCCCGCACGCTATTCGGTGAAGGGTAAGTGTTGTGTGTCCTGTGTCACCTTTTTGTTGTGATGGCTTTAACGGAAGCGATGCGCGAGGCTGTAAATGTGTTAGTCGCGGTCTTCCAAATATCGAACGATAATATCAGGCTGTTATGTTGGCTGTTATGTAGGTACGTAACTCACAGACGTCAGTCAATCGACAGAGTGGGTTTGTGGTGACCTTGGTTGCAGTTTTTTATTTACCTAGCGGCGTACCTATGCAGTATGCACGTAGGTACAGTGTTTGTTGAGACATTTTAACAGTTTGCCCGGGGTGAATACGCGCCCGGGGTCGGTATTTGGCGTCGGCCGTCGGGCTAGCGTCATTTATGACGTCACATTCCCCGGTAGCTGCTGTCAGCTGATCGGTTCCATTCACGTACCCCACCATCCGTCAGTCACAAATGGTGATCGGGTTCCTGATGCGTGGGTAGGACAAACCTACTGGTATGCGCACGGGTCGGTCTGCTGCCGATTTTGGAGAGATATCATGCCCTGACTGTGCGGGTGGAGTGACGTTGTTTGTTTGCGTGATAATTGTGATGGGAGTTGGGACTCATGGGAGAATACCGGGCAGTCTTTAAACATTGTATCATTCCAGTAGTCATGTCGGTGTGGCGTGTGCTTTGTTCGTCATATTTGTGACATTTGGAAATTGGAATGTAGGTATGTTTTCGGTAATGTATTTGGGGCACAATTCAAGATCTTGATGTGATGCTAAAGCAAAGACGATCAATTACTTCGATAAGTTTACGTGTGTCAAAACTCAAAACTATTCATTACGGAGGTGTGCTAATTTGTCCCCACCCTAATCAAATCGATCAAGCTATTTGATTACATGACTGCATTATTGAATTGTCAGGGGAAATTGATATGTCCCATTATGCGCTAGCCCTCATCAATTCATGATTCTTCTTTGTGATAAAGGGAGGTGCAACATGTTACAGGTAGCCTTATTACCTGTATGCATGCATGAGCTAAGGTAAAAGGCAGAAGACAGTTATCATTCACCTAATGAGGTTGTCTTCAATCGACAATCGTTGTAACATTTTTAGATTCAGGGAGGAGCCGGAGAATGAAGACTTTAAAGCTGAAACTTAGGCATGGTGTACAAGAAAATCAGCGGTCCGGTCCTTATGGTTTCTACTTTCTTGTCCGCAGTTTTAGTTGATACCAGTGGTTGTATGTAAAAGTTAGCGATAGGTTTGGAACGATGGCATTATTACCGGAATATCCAGTTCACCCTGTCACCGCCGGACGCCACCACGGCCCTCCGGTGTATTCCTGTCCCTTATTTTCCAGTTTTAATAGCCAAATCAAACGAGTTGATAACGGCGCCCCCTCCCCGTTTTGGGCCGGCCGCTGCCGCCTGGCGGATAGGCTGTGCCGCGGCGGCCGGTGCACTGCGGCACAGCCTACAGCGCAGGCAGCCCCAGTTTTGGATGCGTCCACAGTCCACACACCGACGGGGCACTGTCGTGGACGGGCCCAGACTCTCCATGGGGCCGCACGGGTCAGCCCTCGTAGGATCTAGGCCTGTAGGTAGAGTGCCTGCAGGTCAGCCGTGATGGGGTAAACGGTCTTTCGGGTCATCCACATTTGGGGATAGGGGTAGGACCGCGCGCGCAGCTGTGGCAAGAAACATTCCAACAAAATGCCTGACTGTTCTGGTATTTCATTAAAATACCACGTTATTCGTTCGTCAAAACCTCTGGCATGTTTGGAATGTTGCATGACCCTTATTTCCTGGAAACGACCGGGCTGTAACTTGAGTAACAGTTCTTTCGGCCAGGAATTCAATAATGTTGTTTGGGACGCAGGTGTCTTATGATTATTTCCAAGACTAGGGGTTAATAAAGTCACATTTATGTTTCATTTCGGTGTGAGGGCTGACACTGCCGACCGCTTCTAACACCTGGTTGAGGTAAAACACCCTAATCATTCAAGCCGGACGAAAAACGCTGCTGAATAATAGAATGATCCGATTGCGTGACCCCTCACCAGGGCTGCACTCCTCCACCTGCTTCCAGCAGTTCGTTGATAATTCAGCGTTATAATTCTAAAGAAAGTGCCCAGGGGCGGAGAATAGCGTTTTGGGGGTGCTCGAAAACCCACTGAGTCAAAAAGCGTACGTAAGTACCCCTCACCGCCAAAAGCCTCTCTCTCTCTCTCTCTCTCTCTCTCTCTCTCTCTCTCTCTCTCTCTCTCTCTCTCTCTCTCTCTCTCTCTCTCTCTTTTCTCTCTCTCTCTCTCTCTCTCTCTCTCTCTCTCTCTCTCTCTCTCTCTCTCTCTCTCACCCCGACACTAACCTCCGCCCGCCCCCTCTCTCTCCAGCCGCGCCCGGGAGTGGTTCGGTCCTGACCCGGTGTCACTGTTCGCCCCGCGGCTGGACGGACCGCTGCAGCTGCACACTCAGCCCGGGTCGCTGACCGGTCACAATGTGGATGTGGTACCCGTGGAACACTCGGCCTCCGACCCGGCGCACGCAGGTAAGGATAATCGGGGGCTGATCGGGGCTGTGGTAGAGTGAGTGGAGGAATGGAGGTAGAGAGGCGGGGCTGGGCGGAATGGGCTGAGGAGGACTATCGTGGGCTAGGTTGAAGGTAGGGAGGCTGAGTGGACTGGTTTTGACTGAGTAAGACGGGACTAGTTAAGGCTGGGAGGAGGGTTAGAGAGACGAGGCTGGGCTGGGACTGCAGCTGACCAAATTGGGCTGGGGTAGATGGTGGAGACTTAGAAAATTTGACGGTTACTGGGATGGAATTAATGGAACTGGATGTGCTAAGGCCAGCAAACTGGATTTATTAAGCCTATGTTTGCCAGAAATGGTTTTTACCCATTGAGTGGTTGGCCCGTCGACCCGCTTGTTATCTCTCAGGCCCATATACTTCTCGTTAAAGGTATTATCAGGGTTTTTTCCAAAATTTCGGACTTACTCAGTGAAACGTGTAGAAGAAGGTGACTGAAGCCCCAATCCAAAGTCATTCGTCTCAAAATTGCCTAATTTTCCAATGGTGGGCCTCCAAAGTTTTCGCGGCTGCCAGCCGCGTAAGGTTGCGAGTACTTGGTGGTCCATCTCTAAACGCCCATAGGGTTTACACTAGCGGAGACTTTTCTAAATATTTCTAGGGAAAATATAATGGATCTAGGGAAAATATAATGGATCTAGGGGAAAATATAATGGATTACATGCTCCATTATATTTTCCCAAGACAAAATAGGGAAATATAGCATAGGTCCGTAACACAACGAACACAACCTTCTTCTCATTCTTCTCAGCTTCTCATTCTAGATATCCTGTGGGTTATCAAAATAATTCAAATTAAAAAATTGTGTTGTGTGCGTTCAAACTAAGCTCATCCCGAGTGTAATTCAAGAATGTCTTAGTTCAAGTAATTAAACTTGAAAGTGATATAGCTCAAACAGTGAAGAAGCTTGGATGGAACTAGTGTTGAATCAAAGTTACCTATCATTTTTAATGCTAAGGGCCCTGTTTCACCGGTGATAGCAGCAAGCTACTATCAAATTGCGCGAGCTGACGTAATGTGATGACGTCATACTGCTGACGTAAGGGGCAATTCTGGCGCACGATTGCCGCAATATTGTTTTACGTCATCAGCTAAATGTTCGAAGTTTACGTCCAAATTTTTCCTAAACCCAACTTCTTTTAAATACATCATATTGAAAAAATATATATCAAAAATATATATACTATCATGACTGCGTAAACTCTTACTTTTAGGCTCATACGTCACTTAATGCCGCCGCAAAGCACAGTGTATATAAATACAGTGGCGGCAAATGCGCTTGGTCACGTGACCAAATCTGCACGTGCGGTTGTGGCGAGGGCACTTCCCGAAACTCTGGTGCCAACGGCCTCGCGGCGCCCATAGAGAATACATGGGACCTTTTCTTTTCAGACCTATCGTGTCTAAACCAAGCCATTTAGTGCAAGGATACGACTGGTTTGAGATTCAGTAGTCTTTTGGCTACAAGTTGGCATAAGAAACGTATTTTTATCGGCAAAATTCGCAAAGTACCAGGTGGTTTTCCGATACCCTGCGCGCCTCCTTACCCCCGGCGGCCGACCGGAGGAATCAGTAGCGCTCCACTCACGACTTTTGGCGATAGCTCAAAACACCTTACAGCTAGAGGACTGCTATTTGGCACACCTTATCTTTGCTTCCATACGCATCTTTGGAAACCAATTGCATTTCCGTGTCAGGTCAGGTCACTGACTTATGACGTCACACGTGAACCTCTGCAATAGTCCCAAAATACCGAAACTTCGCAATGCCCTCGGTGCCAGAGGAGCTGTCACAGCGAGATGATACTTAGAGGACCTATTATCCTCTAGGAGTCTCAAAACTTGTATATCTCAGATTTCTCCTAGAGGTCACATGAGGTCAGGCCGATCGCGCGACGTCACCATTACAAGTCAATGGGGAAAATATGGAAACTGTAATTCTGACGCCGAGAATGATCTAAACCTAGCTTAAGCACATGGAATCGCAATTTCATGCAATTCTTGCAATGTCCAATGCTTCACCTTTGCATCTTTAACCTAGCGTGACGTCATTCATGACGTCACAAATGTCACAAGTTTTTTCGTCAATAACTCCTGATAAAATTGAGCTGGCAAGTCGGAAAAGTCGCCAGTAGACTCGGGAAGACCTACCAAATCGAATGATATGCGATATAACCTCCTCCGACCAAGTTCGTGACCCGAGTGCCTCTGACCTGGCTTTGATCCGATGTGAACACCTTATGTTGACCCCATCCAAACAAAAGTGTACCATTTTGACGCACCGGAGCATGACAAACATGATGGTACTTAAATCGCGACTCTGCGCCGTTTTTTTTTTGACAGTTATTTTTCAAAACCCGAAATCGTATTTTGGCCCTCGGGGCACTTGACCTGACCCTCGGAGGCCATCAGTTGACCTGAGACTTTTAAACCGTGCATCAATCGCTGCGTCCCCGGTCCCGTAACGGCACACATGCTCGTTTTTCCCGCGAGGCTAGCTCAATTAAGGCGAGGGAGTCGTACCCGCCCACTCTCGCGGCTGGGGCGTAGGTATGTAAAAAAAAAAACAACTAAGAAGTCTGGTGATGATTGATGCAAGATTCTTACAGATAATGGTAGATGAAGGTAGGGCATCAGTTATTAAGATAGGTAAAAAACAAATTTGCAGCCCTCAGTAGCATTGATTTATGCATTAAGAGTTATAGAACCATAGGCGGCGGAACGGGGAGGGCACCGGGGCACCGTGCCCCCTATAATTTTGGCATTTTAACATTAGCCCTATGGGCGTTGCATGGAAAGAATCGGACCGAAAGTCGGCAGTGCCCCCCCCCCCCTTAATTGAAGGTGTTCCGCCGCTACTGTATAGAACAACTGTAAGCTGCAGGCTCAGCTTTTCAGTTTCTACCTATGCCTGCAAACACAATAAAATCAATGGAAGAGTAATAATAGATAAATTGCATTTTATTGATGCTATTCAAGTATCAATGGTAACTATGTCACCGATGATTCAATATTATTTGCACGGTATCATTTACCACCACACGCCTAAATATTTAGTATCTAAAATAATGCAGTAAAATAAGCTGCGCCACGTCTGTCGACAAAATCTGGTGCCAACTCAAGGTCACACGGAAAATGTGGTCACGTGACCAATGTCCGGCAGCTGCCGCAAAGGTCGCGGCAATCGTGCGCCGGAACTACCCATTACGACAACAGTATGGCGTCACGACATGACGTCAGCTCGCGAAACGTGATAGCAGCTTGCTGCTATCACCGGTGAAACAGGGCCAAGTGGTGAACGTTACCAATAATTCGAGACATCCGTTGTAAGATGTATGACGCAGATCAACTTTGATCAAGTGAAGAAAATAGATTTCAGATGAAATAATGTCAATGTTCAAGGCTGAGCGACTGGCAGATTTCGGAGTGAGCACGAGTGGCCTTGAGACATTCTGTTTCTGTAGGTACTCAAAATAAATAAATTATCATGTTGTGTGCTTTGAGGTTAAGTGTTATCAGTGGTGCTTCATGGTTGTGCTTTGTTGTTGGTGTATAGGCATGTTTTGAGCACATTGCAGCATGATATTGGTGGTGTGTAAAGCAACTGATCTCCGCAGACTTTGCACTTACTTGCAAAGCCTGCGGACTGACTTTGCAGACTTTGGCTGACAATGAGCAATACATTGCTGACTGATATCATTTATTCTGTGTTTGTAGCACAAAGTACAGAAGTGGCACATACATTGTTACTTTGAAAACCTGATGTGAATTTTGATGTAGAAAATTGGTGGCTGACGTTGAGTCCTGACGTATTGTGAGTAGTGTACATCTGGTGCATTGAGCGCAGACTTGAGACCAGTGACGTTTGTATCAGTAGACTGTGTTTGAGTCTACTTATATGGGTAGTCATAAAGCAGGCGTCACACTTCTTTTTGCAACCAAGGAGATGCGCTATACCCAGAGATGCTTTCTCACCAAACCTTACCAAACCAAACCTAACCTACAGCGCCTCTCTTCGTTCGTTCATGGTTGCAAAAAAACAAGTGTGACGCCTGCTATACTACTACCCTTATATGGCCTTGGTTTGAGTGTGGTGACTGAGTAAGCTGGTGTGTATAGCCATGCAATAAGTGTTTTGAAATATATTTTTGGGACAGTATTGAAATGGTGTGTTTTGGCCATCTGGCATGGATGATGGAAAGCCACTAACTCAACTTCAGGAACGCTTCTTCATTATGCTCATCTAAAGCACAATGATCTATTTTCTGTTCGCAAGGATTGATTCCTAATTCACTGTCAATTATAACCTGGGCCAGAAGGTTTCGCTGAGCCACAGGGTTCATACAGATTCATCCACAGTGCTCAGCAGTGTATGTTTTCAGATTTCAACAGACTGTATTTTTTTCTGTATGTACATATGCATCATGCAAGGGTACAACAGATGCGGTATTTGGTAAGCAGTTGGCAGCAAGGTGGTGTTTGTACTTATTGGCAGAACTAGTTGAGCAGGACTAAAACTATCCTAGTTTCTCTCCAGTTTACTCAGATCCGTCTCAACACATTGAACATATTGAAAGCGTTCATCCATGAAATGTCTGCATGTATACTCATTTCCGAGAAGGCACGCTCGTCGCTCATCCATTGCCGAGCAGGCACGTGCGTGCCCATCGCCGGCGCGCATTAGCGCGCGTCCATGGCTGGGGCGCACGCGCGCGGCCATGGCCGGCATGCACGCGCGCGCGCCCATCGTCGGCACGCAAGCGCGCGCCGCGTCCTTACCCGGCGAGCACGCCGCGTCCGTACCCGGCGCGCACCCGCGCGCGTCCACAGCCGGGGCGCACCCAAGCGAGTTCGTACCCGGCACGTACCGGCGCGCACCCGCGCGCGTCCGTACCCGGCCCGCACCCGCGCGCGTCCACTGCCGGCACTGACAGACCCTGACAGACGGGCGTGCTGCCGTCG